CAAATTCCTTAAAACATAAATGTATAAGGATGTAATTTTCAGATAATGCATAAAAGCAAAATGCTTCACTCTTTTTTTATTTTTTATTTTTTTTTTTATTGACAAAATTTAAACTTATCGATTTGTTAGCCTATTTCATCTCTCTCTCTCTCTCTCTCTCTTTCTCTCTTTTTGTTTTCTACTAAATCAATTATTTTATAATCTATCCGTTTATTATTATTTGTTTTTGAATTTCACGAAAAAAAAAATGGAAAGAAATGGAAAAAGGAAGAAGAGAACAATACAAAAAAAGAAAAAAAAAAACCTATTACAAAAGAGATTATTTTCTTTCTTTCTTTTTCTTTTTTCTTTTTTTTTGAAACATCAAAAAAAAAAAGATAAAAGTATTAGTATTTACAACGTTATTGTCCATTTTATTCATCTATTTTTCAAATCTAAACTATCGTTTTCCTCTCTTTTATATCGAATGAAATGTGTATATCTCTCGATATTTCTTTCTTTCTTTTTTTCGAACCATTGAATTAAATATTTTTTTAAAAAAAAAAATTTTTTATTAGATCTAAAAAAGTTTTTTTTTTTTTTAGACCAATGAAATTGTATTGGATGCATTTAATTGCATCGAACTAAGCACATCATTATATGATGATGATAGAACTATCTATCATTAATAAGCCAATATCATACAATTTCATATTTCCGTATTATTCAACTTCTTCGATGAATTATTTTTGTAATTATTATTAAAAAAAAAAGAAAAAAAAGGAAGGAAAATAAAATTAATTTTTTTAAATTTTTTGACAAATTTTAATATTTTAATTTTTTTTTTAAATTACTATGATGATGATGATGATATATATAGGGAAACGGAACGAAAAAGAAAATTTTATTATGCAAAAAAAAAAAGAGACAAATGTTCAATTGAATTTATAAATGTTTTAATTTTAATGTTTCTATTTAATTTTTTTAAATATTTCAATTGACGTTTCAAATTTTTTCCTTAAAGTTTTTTTTTTCTCTTTTAGTGGAATAAAAAGAAATAAAGAAGTGTATTATTCAGTAGAATGTTACGAAGAATTGCGTTTTATGCTAATATTTATTCAATCAATTTAAAACTTCAATTTACATTACTAATATTTTTTTCTTTTCAATCATATACATAAATGATGTCATCAATTTTGATGATAATTTCAGCAATAAAAAAAAAAAAGCAAATTTAATTTTATTTTCTGCTTGACAAATCATTGAATAATTTGAAAAGGTTATTTTTTTTGGTTATCGTTATATAATGCCTTTCTATGATAATTTGCTATGAATTTATTTGAAAATTTTAGTTTTTTCCCTTTTTTTTAAATTTAAAGCGAAAATTTCAAGTATTCTTATAATTTTCAATAATTAAATTCTTTCATTTTTTATTGCTGAATATGCTTCAAGTTTTTCTTTTTTTTTTCAGTTTAAAAATTTTTTTAACTTTTTATTTTTAAGGATAAAGGATATGCATCATCATCATTGGGAACGATTGGAACAAAAGGAATGACAGCAAATACATATCGTGGAACGATGAATGAAATGAAAAATTCAAAATTAGCTATCAATCAAAATAATGATGAAACGAGAAAAATTTCCGGATTAGTAAAACCAAAAAATGGTATGACGAAATCCCGAAAAATTCCACCTACAACATCGATATCATCAGGTGTTGGACGTGATACGATGAAGGTATTCAAAAATTGATATATTAAAGAAATGGAATAATTTTAATTTTTGATTTTAAAATTTTAATTTTATAATGGAACAAAAAAAGAAAAAAAAAGATGACAGAGAAGAGATTGAGAAGAAGATGACAATCAATATAATTTGTATTAATTTGCTGGAACATTAATGCTTGAATAATGCTCGACAAGCTATTCAATCTTCCGGTTCTCAGGAATATTTCTTGCATTTTTCTATCCTTTCCAAACTTTCTTTCTTTGCTAAATTTAAACTTCAAATAATTTCTCCTTTCTTTTTTTCTGCCATCCCTCTCTTTCTTGTTTTTTTTTCGTAATTTTTTAAAATGAAATTTAAATTTTAAATGAAATCTATGATATTTATATTATTAAGTACCATAGATTTAACTTTTGTCATTGACATATTCATATCATGTCATATCATATCATATTTCAATTATATTCTGTTATATAATTACTTCAGAAATTAAATTTTATTTTATTTTAGGTTAACAGTAATTGGGATATTATTAAATATCATCTCTCTCTCTCTCTCTCTACAAAAAAAGTAAGAGAAAAAAAAGGGATGATAGAGAAATGAAGCATGAATCAGTGAATTAATTCTTATACTTTAATTTTTTTATGAATTAATCCTTTTAGATATACTTAAATAATTATTCCTGTACTTTAATTGTATTTTACAATACTAAATTATACCAAAATAAATTTCAATTTTTGAGTACAAAATAGAACACCTGGTAATTGATTAACCGATCAGCCTTTTTCCATATTCAAATATCCACCTGCACTTGCACCGACCGATTGAATAGCATTAAATAGCCATTTAAATTTTTATTGTGTAATTTTAAAATCATTTGGCAATTTTTAAACTATTGAAAGCTAATAAATAGTTAATCTTTGGCAATGATTACAGTATTTCCTTAATTTGATTTTTGAATTATTTTGCTAATCAAAGGTGTTTAATTTAATTTTAATTACGAAATATGCATATAGCAATGATTCATAAAATTAGTTCACTCATCCTAAACTATACAAGCGGATAAGCAATTATTAATAAGATTGCAATGATAAGGAATTATCAATAAGATAACAATTTTTCTGGATATTATTCATAAATGTTTAGAAAGATCTTATATTCAATATGATATCAATTTTTCCGGACATTATCATAAATGTTTAGAAAGATCTTACATTCAGTGAGATATCAACTTTTCCGGATACTATCATAAATGTTTAGAAAGATCTTACATTCAGTGAGATATCAACTTTTCCGGATACTA